TACCATATTTATGTCTGTGAACAAAAACTGAAAGATTCAGCGAGAAAAAAAAAGAAAATTCGTGAAAAATGCAAATTGCAAATACAAATTATGGGAAAGTCAGTATATTTTTATTACGGTAATAAAATTGCCGTAATCTCAATGTAATGATAATGAAACTCGCGAAAATATGAAATTAAGTCGAACTACTCACAATCAAGATGTTTCTTTTTGGGTGCCATTAACTCCTCAGTCGTTGCCTTGCATATGGTCTTTCCCAACTGACTACCAGCTAGAGAGTGCTTGGCAGCAGTTAACCTGAAAAAGATGAATTTAGTTTTACCCTTGATAGTTCTATTCAAACCAGAACCATAGCATACCGGTCAGAGATGGTTTGGCCACCGGTGGTGAAGGGCATCGGCTGATGCAGAGCTTTCTCGATAGTTTGCATTTTGCTCAACGTTTAGGTACTGGAAGAAGAAGCCAATGAAGAAGAAATTCAAGAACGCGTTCCAACTCGCGAAACGAAAACTATTCTGACATTTCGAAGAAGAAACGCACACGAGAGGTATTTCTAAGGCGAGGGCTCGCCTAGAAATGGAGCGATTCATCAAAGAGAAACGAGAAGGAGACTGAAGAAAACACATCAATGGGAGGTGGTGGGTGCGATGGATTTATCGACGAAGGCGGATGCTGGCCCGAGTCCGGCACGCAAGCGCGAGAATCGATGCCCAAGAGACGACTTGCACCCCTGTCCCTTCCAAACTTTTGGCAAACATAGACAAATCCAGATTTGGAGGAGTTGTACAAGAGTTTGTTTGATGCCTTCAACATCACCGACTAGGAACGCCGCCAAATGTCACTTTCACCAATCAATAACTAGGCAAAAACAGCAGTTCGGCGAATCTTAGCACGCAATTCGTTGAACTTTAGTACGTAAAAGGTAAGACAAATCACGAGTCCATTTTCGTATAACCTCGCAGGAATACCATACGAAATGGCTTCGAATTCGGCAGATATTGGTAATAAAAACCGCAATCATGTGTGATACCTTCTGAATGAGCGACAACGCTATGGAACCGAACGTACCCGTCCTCTGTCTCGTTTACCACAATTTATCAGTGAGCTGGTGTCTTTATTGAATGATTAAGAGACTCTATTTGTTTCGCGTATTAATCCACTTATTTCGGAAAGAAACCATTGGTTTGTAAAAGCTAGTCTTTCAAAAACACCGCGTAATTTTCGTACATACTAGATTATAGCAAGGTAAAATGAAAGAGACAAACATATAGCACA